CTGGAGTGGATGGGGTTGCCTTTCATCAAAAGACAGTAGAAGCCCTATCTGCTGCAGATAGGCGTCTTTGATCAAAACAGCAAAGGCCGCTGCAGATAGGCGCGTCTCTCCTCCCGCTTTAAAAAATACAGCAGAAAGCGAGCCTGCATCAGAGAGGCGTGTAGGAAAGGAGCCTCAGACCTGTGATTGAGAGGCAGGCGCCTTATCCATTAGGCTATGGAACCTCTGGTTTGCAGCAGCCGCTTGCTCTTGAAGTACTCTTTACTGCACCTCTTGAAATGAAAACGCGAAAGCCCTATCTGCAGCAGATAGGCGCGCTCTGCTTTCTGCTGTGTTGGAGTGGGGTGGTCTGCAATGAACACAGCAAAAGCCCTATCTGCTGCAGATAGGCGCGTTCTGCTTTCTGTTGTGTTGGGGTGGGGTGGTCTGCAATGAACACAGCAAAAGACCTATCTGCTGCAGATAGGCGCGTTCTGCTTTCTGTTGTGTTGGAGTGGGGTGGTCTGCAATGAACACAGCAAAAGCCCTATCTGCTGCAGATAGGCGCGTTCTGCTTTCTGTTGTGTTGGGGTGGGGTGGTCTGCAATGAACACAGCAAAAGCCCTATCTGCTGCAGATAGGCGCGTTCTGCTTTCTGTTGTGTTGGAGTGGGGTGGTCTGCAATGAACACAGCAAAAGCCCTATCTGCTGCAGATAGGGGCGTTCTGCTTTCTGTTGTGTTGGAGTGGGGTTGTCTGCAATGAACACAGCAAAAGCCCTATCTGCAGCAGATAGGCGCGATTTGTCCGTCTGCTGGAGTGGGGGGCTGCAGTCATCAACACACTGCAGAAGGCCTATCTGCTGCAGATAGCCGCATTTTCCCCCATCTGCTGGGGTGTTTGTTTTTTCCATAGGAAGGACCCTGTCGTCTCTGAGAGGCTTTGGGGCTTGGGAACATTCTTGGCCGAATGCGGTCCGTAGGTGTTGTTGGGCACTCATCATGGCTAGAGGGCCGCTTCATGGTGCACAACTAAAAGAACTTCAAAACTTCCTGACCTCGAACTTGGGTTGTGTTTTCAGTGGTGTGGAGAGTGAGCAGGTGAGGCATGACTTCCAGTCCCTACCCACGTCCGCCCGCGCCTCCAAAATCTCTGCCAGGAGTGTGAAGTCGATGAAGTGTGTGTGTGTGTGTGTGTTTTGCGTGTGCGTGTGTGTGTGTGATGTTAGTGTGACCATAACTATAACTTAATTTCAGGTGGGAACAGCTCAGCCCTTATTTCAGAAGTTTAGGTCGTAATTCCAAAGTGACGTCGGGTGAGGTCGCTCTAGATATTATCTAATTAAGGGTCGGAAAACACCGGAGGTCGCGAGGGTGGGAGGTGGGCACTCTAGAGACCACCTCCGTTTCACACGGAGACCAGTCCAGGGCTTCAAGGGACCATTCTGAGGCCACACTAGACCCATCCTCTGAACCGGCAGAGCAATCAAACTACTTGCAACGTGTTTCACGCCGCATGGAGAAAGCATACATCCCTTCCCCTAACACCGATTTCAGTCAACACTTCGACCACCTACGATCGGCACCCCTTCGTGGACCTCCACTGGACCGCCACCGAAGTCTGCGAGTCGGAAGCCTAGTCGAAGTCCTCGTCACACGCCAAGAGGATGCCCAAGCAACAGAAGCCTGGCACGGCTGGGGCTGCCCAATGGATCGGCGTAACCACTCCGTCGCGGCCAGGCCGCGAGACGCCATCCGGTCGTTGCAGCCGTCCACCGCACGCCGTGCGCGCCCTTGTTTGATTCTCAACAGACGGAGCAAGGCTGTTCCCGCCCCCTTAGCAGATGGGAGGACCATCGGATGGGTGCTCGGCAAGAACAGGTTGTAAACCATCTATAAACATAATCTAAACCATCACCGCAACATAGAACCGCCCTGGCTGGCTTGATTGGTGTCCTGCTTCGGAAGACTGGGGCTTGGCGCCGGTTGGCTAAGACGAGTCAGGTGGAGACGGCCCTGAGTGTCCCTGAGTGTCCCTGAGTATACCGATTTCATGGGATTAGTATAGCTCCGGAAACCCCAACAAAGGAGACCACATACAAAGACCTGTGCTATATTCGCACCCCATCGCATCAACCATCAACTGGGAATCCATCGGCGGTCGCTGAAATCGGCGTTTTCTGCCGGGCTTTTTCGTCTCACGCACCATTGGCCACATCCGCTTTGGGAGAGACCTGCGGCGTTGGGAGGGTCCGGCGGACCAAGTGACCCAATTTCTCAGTGATTGTTTCCAGAGAAGCGTGACCATGGCATGGAAGGTACTATGAAATACATTGAACTGCATTGAAATACCACTTAGATTCACCCCAAGGAAGAAAACCACACAAACAGTGAACACATACCCAAGCAAACATTTTGCAGAATACGAGTCTGGCGAAGAAGTCTGTCTTGAGCAACCCCTGGCTGATTTCGGGACGATAGGAACGCTTCAAGATCTACATCCACACTATCTTGGGGTTTCCACTCTCTATTAAGGAGCCAGGAAGCATTTCAGGCACCAGCTTGTGATAGCTGCATACATAGGATTGCTCACGAGCTAAATTTCTCAAACCCGGTGTTCATTGCATCTCCATGTTTCTATAGGGATTTTACGATATATTCACATGATTCACATGAGACAAGTATGTAAGTTTAGGATTTCAGTTCCTTCAGGAATCAAAGGGTGGAATCCAGGTTTCTCTGCAGGTCCACGGGTCTGCGGCCGCGTGACGCCGCGCGCTGCCCCCCCGCGCGTTCGTCGCGCTCCCGCCGCGTCGTCCATCATGGAGTCCCAAAGCTCATCGAAGTCTGCCTCGGAAGTCGAGTTTCGCCCAGACTCTGGGTCTGGAGGAAGTAATTAACTGCCTTGGATCTTGAACACATCTTTAGCAATTGCATTGTATACATAATAATGATATGCCCTGTTATGCTCAGTTATAAGTTCAGAGACAAAGTCTGGTCTACAAGTTCGTTGGCTTCATCCGGCTTCACTAGGCTGAGGTTGAAGGCTCGGACCATGAAAAACTGCGGAGAGAAGCTGGTGCTTTAGCACAAGAAAAATCTGGGAGAAGAACTTGGAAGGAGATCGGTCAAAGGCCTGCATGGATAAGGACATTTTGAAATGGCCCTAAGGCGGCTAAGACATGCTGAGCACCAGCTTTTGAGATCTTTTGGACCAGCAAGCTACGCTATAATACCAGCTGGTATACCATTGTGGTCACATTTAAAGTTCTTTTCTGGCCGTCACCCAGCTGCAATGGAGTGGTAAAACCAGGATACAGCATCTTCTGTATTCTAAGAGGTGCTTGCAAGAATACGGCATGCCCTCTTTACAATCTCTGCTTGCCCAAACATCCCACGAGACCCAAACATGTTTGGCGGTGGCAGGAGTTCGCAATCCAAACTTTCCCAACGGGCCAACCTCAAGGGCATCGCTACTAGTAGCTCCTGGCATTACTACTAGGAGCAAGAAGCTACTAGTAGCAAGGTGCCTTATTACTAGTAGATCTAGTAGCTCCTCTCTCCTAGTAACAAGGGCTTTCTACTAGGAGCTTTGACCAGGTTCTGCTCCCGTTCGATTCCTCCACTCAGCTTGCGGCATCGGCGATGGTTTTGGGATCCTCGCCTGATCACGTGGTTGGGAGGCGAAGCCTTGTTTCGGTGCTCTTAAAGAGAAAGGGATAAAGGCTTGATTCGGGAAAGAACACAGATTCTTTGGGCATCTAACACATTCTAACGCACCGGTGTTCGTCTATAGAATACGATTGATTGTTCAATGTCATGGACTTAGATGTTTGTTCCCCTCCGTTCTTTTTGGTTTCGCAGTCATGGGACGGGCTGCATGAAGTTTTAGGTGCTCTTGGGACACGAGAGTGTCCCACTGGTTCCCCCCCACTCCTACGAGAAGCCAGCAGATCGAATCAACCCGTTGATCCTCGGGGCACGCATGTCGAGTGCTTGGTGTCATCGGATCCTTCAGGATTCCAACAAGCTTGCGTTGGTTGTAGAGTTCAGGGGCCGGGTACAAAGCGTTGATCAAGAGCCTCCACGAAGGAAATCATCCTGGCCAAATCAAATTCATTCTGCATTGCGCCAAGGCATCTTCGGCCTTGCCGCAACTTGTTCACGAATTGATCAAAAGATTGCCGACCCCTGCAGGCCTGGCTGAAGGCTAGGCCAGGCTAGGGGAGACCAGAAAAACACAGTTTAAAGATCAAAAGTAAACACATACTCCGAGCCTCCCCAACTCCCCCCGTGCCCGATGCCCATTCCCCCGTACCCGAGCCGACCGCCGGACCGCCTGCTGATCCCGTGTCCGGTGCCGTCGTGTCCAGCACGGTGGGACCCGACACGTCGTCCAGCCTCAGAGTGTGTAGTGAGAAAGTGCACGCTGAAATCGCTGAAACCTGCGAAAGAAAGAAATTAATGAATAACTATAGTTTGCAAAAGTATATACGATGTATTATATTTTTACTATGTATATTATATATATATGATATAGATTATATGTATATATACATATATATATAGAGAGATAGAGATAGAGGTAGATATATGATATGCACAAATATGCACAAATCATTCCTGTGTTTTAAATACCTAGATCCTACACTTGCATGATCCTCATGCTTCCCTGATTTTGCTGGAATTGTGTCACAATTCTACATTCACCTGCATCAGCTGCAGGCACCTTGTTTTGGCTGCTCTCCATCTGAACAACATTGAAACCTGGCCAAATCCGTGGAGCTTCTCTCCGCACCTTCAACTGGCGCTGGCCGTGCTTCGCCGCCGCGTCGATCTCATTGCCGACGCCAAAAGATGGACAAGGATTTGCTTCGATGGTCGTGGGCCAGCCACAAGCTGCAGACAACATGAGTCTTTGACGGATCACCCATCCGTTTAACCACTAGTAAATGCATGTCTTCGTTGGTGGATGGAGAGACCCTGATGGAAACTAGTGGTCAAAACCACCAGGTCGACCAACCCTCGATTGGGGGGCTCTCTCAGCAGCGAGTTGAGGAAGGTTCAAAGTTCCATGGTTGAGATATCTCGGTTGGTACATGTTGGTACAAAATCCGACCGGACATGATGGACATGTGCTTACAAGGGCTCTCACGAGACAACACATGGGCGGGTGGTATTTCATCCATGTACTGTATAGTATTTCAATGTGCCAGGGGCAACCATGGAGGATCAAAACCGATTGTGTGATTGTGTGCATCGATCTCAATACACTTGAAGGAACCTTTTCGCAACAATCAATGCAATTAAGTGGCTGCACCTTCGGCGCTTGCCAAATGTCATGTTGGTCAACAAACACAAACACAAAAACACAAATAACATGTGAGAACAACTATAGAAACAAAAAAACACTACGCTACAGAAGAAACAAACGTTTCAGGATCTTTTAGGTTACGTTCCACTTTGGGATGTTCTACAGAAACAACAAAACAAAACAACTTTGGGATGAACAGGTTCAACAGTTGGCTGGTTCCATTTCCTCAACATCTGCCAGTGTCTTGCCGCTTGTGGCCCTTTACAAACAAATCCTTACAGTGTTGAAGATCAGGCCCCGATCCACTAGTGGAGACATATGGCGATGAACGCGCCAATCAGAGTATCTCAAATATGTAGACGCCCTTCACAACTTGTATCGGAAATCATTAAACAATTTTATGTAATCCTTTTGAGAGTGTGAAGCAGGGTCTTTTCCAAACAAAACGCCATCAAAATCCGTGCTGATAGAGTGAATGGGCTACAAACAATATGTTTGCCAATCTTGAACAGTAGGTGGAAATCACACTTCGGGTTTCAGGTGACTTGGGTTGACATGCCATAAAAATCATCGCTTGATTTTTGATATTAACAAATGGGGAAATTTTCAACCGATTGATTGATGGGGTCACAATCACTTGGCATGATAACAGATTGGGGTCTTCAACTGTTGACATCCGATCCTGACTGCGTGGGCCGATATGAGCCGGGGCCAGCCAACCACTTCTCGCCTTTTTGGCCACGGCGGTGGCGGAAAGCGCGGTTTCAGCGCGGCAAAAGTGGCCAACGAATCCCAACCATCCCAACCATCCCAGGCCATTTCGTTTGAATGCGCCAGAACTGCTTGGAAAAACCGAGGCGAGACTGGGATTCCAGGGGGAACAAAAAGAACTATGGGAACAACTCCCTACTTAGATCAAAAGGAATGTCTTGTTTGTTGGGAGAGAATCACTATACAAAGGACATCTAAGGACTAAGGGATACTAAGGGTATGCATGATGCAGTAGTTTTCATTCTACAACCACCAACTACACCATGTTTGAAATCATGTCCATACATAGCATGCTATGACTCATGAATTTCAACCCATGGCTTTCTCCTTCCTTATCGAACACATGATGTGTAAGAAAAACACCTAGCCGCTGAGCTGGTGTTTCATTCATCGCGGGATTCGCCTTCGGCTTTAAAACTTTTCAGAACGGCAGGCCTGGAGGATCGGCCCCAGTTGTGCAACAAACGGAACGCGACAAACGAACGCAGCGGTTCCGAGTTCGGCCCAAACCATTCTGACCGCTCTCCAAGCGACACCCTCCCAGGTTGGTCGAGAATGAAGACGAAGTCCCATTTTTCCCCAGATAGCGACAGCTATGGGGTTCTTACTTCAAATAACAATGAGCTGGCTGTGCGCGTTTTCAAGACAGGGTCTGGATGGCTGGGCGCCGAGTACCGGTGCTGGCTGTGGTGCTAGCTGCGAGCTGGCTGTGCGCGTGGTGGAGACAGGGTGTCGGCGCTGGGCGCCAGGGTGTCGCAGCACGCGTGGTGGAGACCTCTCACCCATCCTACTGAATCTGGGAACTACAAGACAGAGCAGGCGCGCCGACCTTGTTTTGCAAGCATGGATGACACAGCCAACTTTCTTGCCGCCCACACCACACAGATGCCAGCCCTTTTGAATATCGCTCCTCGAAGCAGCGGGCTGGACTACCAGCCCATCGCCCAAGATCAAGGCCAACTCTTCTAACTGCCCCAAGTTCAAGCACTGCAAGCGCGACCCCGGCTTATTTATTCAGCTTGATAAAGACTGGCGCGAGGAACGCGCGTAAGGCGAGCCACGCTTGAGTCGCCCACAGCAGGAAGCCCAGGAGCTGAGAGAGCTTCTTCCGTTGAGGATGCAATCTCCACCAAGCCAGCTCCCTAAGAATCTTCGCCTGCTTGCTTTCCGGCTAGGATGCCCAGAATTCAGATTTCAAGGACAAGTGCCACCCCAAATTGGTCAACTCTGAACCCAGCGCGACTTTACGCCAGGACAAGGGCACTGCCAAGATCTGCAAAATTGCCAGCACCAGCACCACCAGCATTGCAAACGCTCCCCGTGGGAGAAGGAACAAGAAATCATCTACATAAACCGCCCCAAGGTGGCGGTGTCGCACCAGGAAGTGGATGGTTCTTAACAGCAAGGCAGATAACCTCGACCACCAGTAAGCCGACCAAGCGACCCCGAAGTGGTTGACAACGTGGCATAGACTTCCCCTTCAAACGAGAACACTGAAAAGCCCACGTCTTCAGCGGCCGTACCCCTTGATGTCCACGCTGACCAGAACCCACCACCGCCACTACTTGCCAAGCGGCGAACTGGTTCAGCGCAGCTGTGAACAAGAAAAGCGAAGGCACCTCCGCCCGCTCAAGGAATCTGGCCGAGCCCCACTGGCGCAAGAGTCGCCAATGAGCCGGTCTTCTTTCCCGGCGCGAGTCCCAGCTTGCCAATTGCCAAAGAACAATCCGGGAAGCGCTGCTGCACTGCCGACATACCCCTGTCAATGTGCACCGAATAGCCCAGGTCCACTTCTTACTGGACTAGAGCGCGAACCTTGGTCCTTTTCTGCGGAAGCATGATTGGAGGTGCAACACAACTCATTGAATTTTGCTCATACATGGAGGAATCCACAAATGAAATATACATACCTTTTCCAATCCACAGTAGCCAGTGCCGCCCCCGTGGGACTGAGGGCGCCGCCCCCGTGCAAGGAGGTCGTGAAGTCTAGACCGATCCGATCAGTAGGAGAGCAGTTCCATGCCAGGATGTGGTTTTATGGGAGGGTAGGAGTCAATGAATCTCTCCACTTGGGGACTTGGGGTGTCAGCCCTGGGAGGAACTCCCGCGAACTTCAGCTTGACAGTGGGAGGGTGCCATTCAATTCTTTCACATTAAGCCTTTGAGACAAATCCCACCTGTCAGTTGTGCTCTCCAACCTTGCGACGACGCTATGCGACGCTAATCGAACGAGCTGTTCCTCCAGACGCTTCTTGGCCAAAGTTAGTTCTGGAACTTTGCTCGGTGTGGCAGGGACCGGCGCTCAGCCAAGGGCGGCCGGGAGACGTCCCGCACCGCTTGTTTTTCAAGCGGTGCCTTTTGAGGGTCTGCGTGTTCTATGTTTCTCTAGGCTCTAGCGAAACAATATTGGTGAGGACAAACCCCATCCTTCTGCAAAGGAAACAGGCACCCTGTTGTATTTTATCATCACTTGAGAGAACAATTCCAAGCAGGATGATACAAACTCCACCGTCACGGGAGTCGGACACCCAGAAGAGACTCCAGACTCTCCAGACTCTCCAGACTCTCAGTTCAAATCTAGCTTCTTGTTACTACTAGTAAGGCACTTGTTACTAGTAGCGATGGCATTGTTACTAGTAGCGATGCACTTGTTACCCCCTTAGCACGCTTCCCCTATTACTTCAGGAAATGCCACACTGGTCACCAGCTGTACATTGAGGGCGCTATTGACAGCAGCGTTGATCATCGTTCAGCTCCATCAATCAAAGGTCAAATCAGAGTGTTTGCACAATTGCCTTATGTCACCACTGGTGCGTTCGGCTACAGCCGTAGAAAGCTCTTCAGGCTGGGTTGACCAAAGTCACTGCTTTGGGTTGACCTAAGGTAGTCTTTCCTGGGAATCAAGGACAACCTGTTTTTTTGGGGGCATGTTGGGGGGAACCTTGCTCATCCATCACCAAGCCGGAAGAGAATGCATAAGGTGTCTCTAGTGTCCCAAACTGCCCAAACTGAGCTAAACCTAGCAGCCTAGCAGCTGGGCAATGTGTTGGATGAAAGAGTAGCTTGGATTGTTCCAAAGGAGAAGCACAAGTGTTTTCATCCTCACTCCAAGTAGATTGGGACAGTTGAACAGAATCCTTCTCCTGACATTTTCCAGCTTGAAAACCTGTCTACCTGCCTAGCTACTTTCCACAGATAACCACCCATCCCTTCACCAAACTCTGCGAACTCTCTTGGACTGAACTCTCCGTATCCCTCCATATCCGACATCCGAACCAGGTGGGGTGCCTGGGAAGAAAGAACACCGGGTACCTGA